CTCGGCGGGCGCCCTGTGGATTTACCCTACCAATTGCCCCGTGCGGGACTACCAGCTGCACATCGTTCGGACCTCTCTGTTCTGCAACACGCTGGTGTGTCTGCCTACCGGGCTGGGGAAGACTTTTATTGCCGCCGTGGTCATGTACAATTTCTACCGCTGGTTCCCTTCCGGAAAGGTGGTCTTCATGGCCCCCACGAAACCCTTGGTGACACAGCAGATGGAGGCGTGCTACCAGGTGATGGGTATCCCGCAGTCCCACATGGCCGAAATGACAGGTATCTTAGAAAGAACGGGCACTTTGGAAATTAAGAACTGGGGTACCCGGGGGAGAAGCATGCATTCTGGCGGCTCTTGAGCTAAAGGAATTTCTGACCCAGGTGGGAAGAATTTCCAAACCACAACATGTGCACCTTCCATCTCTCCCTAAAACATCTACTGTAGCAAGCCCGAGCTCCCATTTCTCCCTTCAACCATCTACCGGTAGCAAGTCCAACACTGATGAATGGAGTTGCTTTTTTCCATCTTTAGAGACTCCCTGTAACTTCTCAGAGGATTTTGAAGCTATTATATGTGTATACCCCATGGGTAACTGAACATGATGTGTCCTGGCATTCTTCCTAAAAAAGCATTTCCCAGTTGAAGAATTTGCTTCTCTTCAAATATTATGCCAAGACAGTCTGTTTGTGGTCTTAGGGGTAGCTTTGTCATTTGTACCACGACACAGTTTTAAAATGTAGCATTCCAGTGAATTGTCAGATTGTTCTCTTTTTAAGCAGATTACCAAAGCATGTATGCATACTACAAATAGACCAGACAGTCTGACGTTTAAAATGCAGAATGTCGCTTTTTTTGTTTTTTGAGTTAGAGTTTCACTCCGTCGCCCAGGCTGGAGTGCAGTGGCACACTCACGGCCACCCCAGCGTTGACCGGCTGGGCTCTGGTGATCCTTCCGCCTAAGCCTTCAAGTAGCCGAACTACAGGTGCGGCTAATTATTTATTGTACAGACGAGGTCTCGCCAAGCTGCCCAGGTTGGTCTGGGACCCGCAGGCTCAGGCAGGCAATCCACTCGCCTCGGCCTCCCAAAGGGCTGGGATTACAGGCTGAGTCACAGATCCTGGCCCAGAATGTCGCTTTTATTTACAGGTTCTACTCAAGCTCTCACCAGGAAGGAAATATGGTGCAATAAGAGAGTCCTTTTTCTTACACCTCAGGTCATGGTAAATGACCTTTCTAGAGGAGCTTGCCCCGCTGCTGAAATAAAGTGTCTGGTTATTGATGAAGCTCATAAAGCTCTCGGAAATTATGCTTATTGTCAGGTAATACTTTTGTTAAACAGTATTTTGTATTGTAACTATATTGCTAAAGAGTATTTTGGGGAATAGTTATTAGTGATGGAAGTTATTGATGGTATTATTATGAAAGGCCTTTACATCTGTTATCTCAGAACAGATGGTGATAGAGAATACTTGCACTTTTCTTCATTAGTGTCAGATGTGGATCATAAGAGGCTGGTCATGGTTGGGACTGTGATCTAAAGTAGGGTATGGGTGTACTTTGGGAATGGATAATCCAAAGATTGTTGGCAGGTATACGGTATCATTCCTTGGCAGTTGGATAAAATAATCCTTAACTGTTAGTTATGTAAGGTTTAAGTGGCATAACATATGTAACGTACCTAACACAGTATCCTCCTGTTGAGTACTCTGAGTATGTAAAACAAGGTGAAGTGGTGGGATGTGGTTGTAGAGGTCACTTATCTCTTTGTACTAAATGATATTGGCTTTCTTTTCCGTTTCCCTCTTCTGTTAAGACCACTTTGTGTCTTCTACTTAGGGGCCAGGTCATGAAGGTATTTACATTTTATGCCTAACAGTTTGTACCTTTGTAGGCCATCAGGGATATAGGTGGTGGAGACTCATTAAAAAATGTTTAGCTGGGGTGATATTAAGATTTGAAAGAGATTAGAGGGGAGAATGCTAAAGGCAGAGTATCTAATGAGGAATTGGAGGAATGTAGAATGACTTGCAGGTTTCTGACTTGGAAAACAGTGAAGCTTGTGAGAGTTGTAGAGGCAGAACAGATCTGGGGTAAAGTGGTAAGACAGCGAGTGCAGTTTCAGAAATATTGAGTTTAAGGCGCCCATGAGGAATCTAGCTGTAGAGATCCATTAGGCAGTGAGTGATAGAAGTATGGATCTCAGTGGAGAGTTCTGAGCTGGACATACAGATTTGGATATCATCAGCATATAGGTGGTAGTTAAAACTAGAATAACTAGTGATATTAGGAAGAAGTTACAGAGTAAGAACAGAAGAGGGAAGAAGAAGGAAAAGTTCATTTAGTGCAAAGACATGAATTTTACTGCTAGTTTGTGAATTTGTAAAGTAGTTTCCTTGGGGACTTTAAGTGTTATTGTATTCCTTTTCTGTATTAGACAGAATTGTCATCTTTCCTATAGTTGAACTTCTTAACTATATCCAGAAAATGGATATACTTTTTAGTTTGTTCGTATTTTTCCAAATGAAGGTAACACACAGTGTATTAAGATCTCTGCCTAAGAGGGCATTTAAACATTTTTATTCAAACTATATGGAATTATTTTTGAAGATTTAGCTTATATTTAACTTAACCTATTTTATTTTTAAAAACTTTCTAGGCATCAGATGATCTTTAAACAAAAAAAACAAAACAAAAACCCCTGCAAGGCTTATGTTTTGATTATCATCAAACATAAATTGACTTCATTAATAACCAAACAGTCCTGAGCATTTACACTACTCTGAGTATTCTAGATCAGGTTCCAAAAGGTACACACCACCAGCTCCATGAAGCATGTAGCTTCCTGGATTACAAACACGTCACTGTATCCTCTTCTGCAAGATACTTGAGAATGCCTCCTTAAAAGAAGTAATATATTTGGCTCTCTTTTCGTGTGTAACAGTTCCGGTAGGTATACTGGTACATGTGGCGTCTAACAGTAAAGTAATTACCCTGAACTGCCAAAATGCTCCACAGTCTGAAAGAACACTTTGAGTTCTGTCATACAAAAAGAATTTTTATTTTTATTTATTTATTTGTTTTTTGCGTTGGAGTCTCACTCTGTTGCCCAGACTGGAGTGCAGTGGCCACTCCCGGCCACCGCAGCCTCGACCTGCTGGGCTCCAGCGATCCTTCTGCCTCAGCCTTCCGAGTAGCCGGAATTACAGGCACACGCTACCATGCCCGGCTGATTTTTTGATTTATCGTAGAGATGAGGTCTCACCAACTTGCCCAGGCGGGTCTCGAACCCACGGCTTCAGGCAATCCACTCACCTCAGCCTCCCAAGGTGCGGGATTACAGGCTGAGCCACCAAGCCTGGCTCAAAAAGAATTTTTTAAAGCATCAATAAGTGATCTTTTTTGGTCTTCCTTGCTGCATTTATGACTTTCTAAAAATTCTATGATATCTAAGGACTGCTTAGCATGAAGCTAAAATGGAAATGGTCACTAGGGATATTTTGTCTTGCACTGGTTTTAAATTAGAATAACTCCACCAAGTCTTTGAAGAGTAAGTATAATAATGTCTCCATATACAATCTGTATCATGTTTTAAAACTCCATAAGTAATGTTTTTGATGCATTAATCAAGATGCAGTGTTAGTGTCATTGAATTTATCTTTGACTTGGGTTGAAATTCGGGTGATTTTTGGATAGTCTGGTCTTTTTGCTTAATTCTCATATCTAATATGGGCACTAGGGGATACTGAGAGCTGTTCCTGCAAATTAGTGTACTTGGGAGTGTTTTTTCCTTTGTATTGGGACCTCATGTGAAAGGGCTTATGGAAATCTGGCAAATTATCCAATGCTAATCATATTAGAAGTGGGTGTTGAGTTCAAACTAAAAAGTACAGAATGATGCTTTAGTGTCACTGAAAAAATATTTTACTATTTAAAAGGAAATTTAGATTTTAAAAATTACCCAACTTACCTCATTTTTTAATGAATAAACTTAATTTAAACATTATGAGCATTCTACACAAACTTCTTTAAAATCTTTCCAAAAATTTTAAAGATAAGGGAAATTTCGGGGGAAGGGGGAAGTGGGAGAGGGGAGGTGTGGGGGGTCAGGGGATGAGGGACTGGCAGCAGTGAGATTCTTGGGGGGGCACACCTCATCCACAAGGGCACCTGCCTAATGAACATTTGTATACTTAACCCTGAATTGCACCCCACATCTTTAAAATAAATTAAAACATTTTTTAAAATGTCAAATATAATTCCATATTGCTGTTTAAAATCTTTTTCAATTATTTTTCTTGTGGTTTATCTTAATCTGTCAAGTGTGCATTTGGATGTGACTGTAAGGCTGAACTGTGGCCCAAGCAGTGGTGACTGGACTCCCTTTCTTTTCCATTTGACCTTGAAGGAGCCCTTTGAGTATTTTGATTTGCTTCTGTGTTAGCCTTTGATATTGTAGCTATTTCTTTTTTTTTTTTTGAGTTGGAGTCTCACTGTTGCCCAGGCTGGAGTGAAGTGGCATGCTGCTCACATCCACAGTAGTCTGGACCTGCTGGGCTCAGGTGATCCTTCTGCCTCAGCCTTCCAAGTAACTGGAACCACAGGCACGTGTCCCCATGCTGGGCTAATTTTGTGATTTATTGTAGAGATGAGGTCTCACCAAGTTACCCAAGCTGGTCTCAAACCCTGGGCTCAGGCAGTCCTCTCACCTCTGCCTCCCAAAGTGCTGGGATTACAGGCGTGAGCCACCATGCTCAGCTGATATTGTATCTATACTATAGAAGAAACTGTAATGTGTCTTTGACTAGTTCGTATAGGGCATAAACCTAAATTATTTGTTCTTCAGATAATATGACTAGTTGTAATTCTACTCACTAGACTGTCAAGATGCCGATTAAGAAATAATAAAATGGACCATATATTTCCTTTTTTAACAGGAACACTATTATTTTTGTATTGGACATATGAAATTAAATAACTTTTTTTTTCTTAAGGTTGTAAGAGAACTAATCAAATATACAAATCATTTTAGAATCTTGGCTCTCAGTGCCACACCAGGTAGTGATATAAAGGTAAGTAAAATGTTTTTCCATTTATTAACAGAATTCTTTTTTTTGAATTGGAGTCTCATTCTGTCACCCAGGCTGGAGTGCACTGGCACGATCACGGCTCACCACAGTCTTGACCTCCTGGGCTCAGGCTATCCTTCCACCTCAGTGTCCTGAGTAGCTGGGACTGCAGCACATGCCACCATGCCCAGCTAGTTATTTTATTTTTTTGTAGGGATGAAGTCTCACTATGTTGCCCAGGCTGGTCTCTAACTCCTGGGCTCAAGAATCCTCCTGCCTGGGCTTCCAAAAGTGCTGGGATTACAGATGAGAGCCACCGCACCAGTCTATTAACATAACTTTTTTTTTTGAGTTGGAGTCTCACTCTGTCTCCCAGACTGGAATGCAGTGGCCGCTCCTGGCCACCGCGGCCTCGACCTGCTGGGCTCCGGCGATCCTTCCGCCTCAGCCTTCCAAGTAGCTGTAATTACAGATGCGCGCTACCACACCCGGCTAGTTTTTGATTTATTGTAGAGATGAGGTCTCGCCAAGTTGCCCAGGCGGGTCTCGAACCCGCGAGCTCAGGCAGTTCACTCACCTCAGCCTCCCAAAGCGCGGGATTACAGGCTGAGCCACCGAGCCCGGCTAACATAACTTTTTAATAAGAACTTTTGTATGGGGCCAGATCAGTTTTCCATTCTAGCATTTATCTAGTTTGACATCAGGACTACAATATTTCCTACAACCTGCCTAACTTTTCTTTGAAAGTTGCAGGAGTTTCTTTTTTTTTTTGAGTTGGAATCTCACTCTGTTGCCCAGACTGGAGTGCAGTGGCACGCTCCCGGCTACTGTAGCCTCTACGTGCTGGGCTCCAGTGATCCCTCTGCCTCAGCCTTCCAATTAGCCGGAATACAGGTGCACGCTACCGCGCCCGGCTAATTTTTAATTTATTGTAGAGACAAGATCTTGCCAAGTTGCCTGGGTGGGTCTTGAACCCCCGGGCACAGGCAGTCCACTCACCTGGGCCTCCCAAAGTGCTGGGATTACAGGCTGAGCCATTGAGCCCGGCCAGGAGTTTCCTTAGAGTAGTAGTTTTTAAACTTCAGTATATATGAGAATCACATAACAGTTTGTTAAAAGTGCTGATTTTTACTTCTGCAAACAGTGTTAGTTATGTTGATATAAATGGAAAATATTCTAATTTATCAATAATCGATTTAGGATAGGTTCTATACGTCCTCAGTCTCTTAACAAGCCAATTTGTATACTATTCCAACAATCCTTCCACCTCAGCCTTCCAAGTAGCTGTAACTGCAGGTGTGTGCCACCATGCCTGGCTGATGTTTTTTATTTCTTGTAGAGACGCCATGTTGTCCAGGCTGGTCTCTAACCCCTGGACTCAGGCATTCTTCTTGTCTCAGCTTCCCAAAGTACTGGGATTACAGGCGTGAGCCACCACGCTCAACTGGGCTTATCTTTTTTGATATTTGATGATATGATTTTATAGCACTTTTTTTTAGAATTTTGATACTATTTTCTTTTTCTTTTTTTTTTTTTTTTTTTTTTTTT